TTAGTGGGTGACAGCCCAGCTTTCCACAGGGATGACAAAGATTCATGATGCTGATCAGGGAAGCTGTTGACCACCCTTACAATGGTTCAAACTTTTGTCTTTCAGCTTCCCATATCCTCAGCAAGTTATATTGCCAGGACCTTTTTGCAGAGAGAAAAGAGCAGCTAGTGCTCATCCCATAAAAGCTATGAATTCTGAAACACAGACAGGTGACCAGCTTTTCATTTTTAAATAACCATTAGACTGCTCTTCTATCTGACAAAATCAAAGATAGTAGCAATCTAATACAGAAAATGTAAAAGTAGTTAGTGTGCAAATGGCAGTATAAAACTCAGAAAACGGATAGTTACCTTATTAAGTTTAATCTTGATGGCTGTTTGTCTACACTCCTCTTCAAAAACTCCCTGGTTCTTCATGGCAATCTGCTCTAGGACTTCACTGTTTTACTGCTAGAAAGCTTTCCTGAAACCTAGATCTTCCTTGGTTCATTGAACACCAGCTGTAAGAAACTCCAGTGTGTTTGATTAGCAGAGCTGTTCACCATCGTCTTCATGTCAGAGTTTGATGCAGCCTTTTTGGCTTCTGTGAAAGTCTGAAGACAATTTTAAATATTAAATGAGAGGCAGGGTCAACAGTCAGGAACAGTTTGCAGTAGACTGCATTGCTGCTGAGGAGATGCCTGAATCATGATGTGCCCTTTTATGCTGAGTTATCAATCGGTGTTGCGGGCTGCAAGAGAAGGGACAAATTTATGGATGGCAAATGATTGTCCGTCTGAATGAAGGGAGGGCTTGGAGCCCGTGCTGTATTGGGAAATGCTGCTTGACAATCCTGCTGTGGGAGCTTGGAGGTACACAGCTGAAGGAGCAGTTTTGGCACAGGGAGATGGTGGTATACAAGTTCATCCCAAGAACACCCCACTGAGGTTGTACCCTTAGCTCTGCTTGGCTCACCAGGATGGCAGCTGTACCCTCTCTGCCTAAAGCTGTGTCTGCTGAGCAGCATGGGCACAGATGACCAACCCAAAAATATTGCTCCAGCCTCAGCCTATCTTGTTAGACCAGAGGCTGTGCTAGGCAGTGTTGAATTCATATGGAAGCACTTGGCTGGCCTTTGTGAGATTATTTGTAAGACAATTCAGCACCCAGTGAGATGGCTGGGCTTTGGGCACCAGTCCTTTCCCTGTCACAATGCAAACAGCAGAGTCATCGTGCCTGTGTGATCTACCTCCATCACAAGCAAGCTGCCCTAAAAGGATGATGCTTTCCAGGGTGTTACTCCATGCTCTGCTGTTAGAGATGTCCAAGATATGGTACAGGCTCAGACAGCTACTAGATCAGATACCAAGGTGTAGATTTTGATGCAACTGAGCATCTTGCATGTGATTCATCTTCCTGATTTCCCAGGCTTTGCTGTATATGGATCATCCCAGAGCCCAAATTTCCAGCGAAACAGCCTAGTTGCCCCTGAAAACTACTGTGAAAAGCAGGTGAGGGGGACAAATGCACATCTTGATGTTTAGTCCCATCTTTCTTAATTTCTTCCACTCTTTAGTTTGGAGTGTTTTTTCCCCCATCGTTCTCCATCCACGGTCTAACAACTTCACTTACACACGGGTTTTAAGGCTGCGATGTGAAACGTTGATTCTCCCGGCGGCGGATCAGCTAATTCTCTTCGGCTGCCCCCGAAGTACCGACAGAGAGAAAATAATACTAAAGAACGGTAAATAGTAACTGATCGTGGTGTTACCGATTTCTAATGTTTAATGCATTTTCCGCTCGCCGTTGTGGCTCGGGCAGCCGAGCGCGGCGGGAGGCGGGGCGGGGGCGGGGCCGAGGCGCGGGCGCGGCCGTGATTGGCTGGCGGCGCCGTGAGTGGCAGCGGGGGCGCCCCCCGCGGCCCCGGGGCCGCCGCCGCCGCCGCGCAGTGCCCGCACCCCGGGCAGCCGCGCCGCCCGCTCCGCCCGCGCCGCCGCCATGGGCCGCGGGGCCGCCCCGCTCCGCCGCCTGCTGCTCTCGCTGCTCCTGCTGCCTGCCGCGGGGACGGGCGCACCCGGAGCCTCCTTAGCGCTGGGGGAACCGGAGACGGCGGAGGAGCTGATGGAGTACCGCGACCCTTGCAAAGCCGGTAGGGAAGCGGGCTGGCTGCAACTCTGGGAGAAGTTTGGAAGCGCGGCGGCGGTGGACAGGTGTCCCTGCGAGGCGCTCCTCGGTACCGCGGGTCAGCCCGGCCGAGCCGTGTCCGGGCTCACCTGGCGGCGGGAGCTCCCCGGCCCGGCCGAGAGCTTCCCGAGCATCCCATCCCGCTGCCTTCCCATCCCGCTGCCTTCCCGACCCTGCGGCACCCGGCTGGCTTCCCCGGTGCCCCCGGTGCCGGGGGGTTCTGCTGCCGCCAGCCTGCCCCCGCTGCCCGCCTTGCCCGTGGGCTGTGGCCCCGGCTGTGCGGGGCTTTTTTTGTGAATCGCCCCACGCTCCCGCACCGCTCCCCACCTGTCCCGCGCGAGATTCCCGTCTGCAAAGCCAAGGAAATGCCCGGCCGTGCTTGGCATTTTGGGGTCGGGGGTTCTCCCTTCTCGCCCCCGAGCATTTTGGCTTTTTCTGTGCATTTTCATAGCCTTTTGGCAGCTGTTCGAACTTGCCCCGAGCTGTGTCCGGCCCGAAGTTGCGGTGCGTGCCCCGGAGCGGCGGGAGCGCGGCGGGGCTCGCACACAGCCCGGGCCGTCCAGGTACTCAGAGTGCCCGTGTGCAAGTTTCCACATCCTCTCCGGGAAGCCTCCAGCTGCTCCCTCCATCCCTTTCTTGGAGTTTTCTTTCCCTTGTCAGACCGCACTCTGCTGGTTCTGAGCTCGTTGCTTTTTTTTCTGTTTGAGTTCTAAAGGAGCTGCTGGCATCCCTAGTGTTGCATTCCGTTAATTTAAAGAGAATATGGACCCAGATTTTCTCTTTGGAAAACTAGGAGGTACTCTTGATGTGAGCGTAACTCGTTTTGGTTCCAGCTATTGGGCAATGTTGTAGTCTTGTGAATTGCTTCTCTGCTGAGAAACTGGGGACTGATACCTTTTTAGTTGTGTTACCTTTACGGGTAATTTTGTGTGAAGTCTTGTTTTCTTAATACTGTAGGAGCTGGAAAAAGAAAGGTGTTTCTCTGTGTATGGTGTTCTTGGTCTCTGAGTTAGGGCTTTTACCCCCTGAATGTGCTCCTCGCAGTTACTCGGTGTCCCTTGGTGATAGCTTCTCATGTTATCAGCTCTCTCCTGCCTGCTTTTGCCGTACTTGCAGCCGTATCTGCTCACATAGACGAGCTCTGTCAATATAATGTCTTGCAGAGCCTGGTACAGCAAGTTTAGCTGGCTTTCTATAGGCTGAGTGTGGTGGGTTTCCTTCCAAAATTCAGCTCAGTCCTCTCCAGAGAGTATTTTTTGCACAAAACATTGCCTTGATCAGCAAGTCATCTGTCATTTGATAAATAGTTTGGTGTATATGGAGGTTAATTCTTTGTAATGAATATGGGATCCAGCCAAACATGCTTTACTGTATTTGTGTCTGCTTCTAAATGGTAACAAATTGATCTCTCTAGTGAAACTGGTTGTTAGTGACACAGCTATGGTTTACACTTGGAGAGCTACAGGTACAGTGCTTCAGCCTTCCCATCTGAAAATGTATTAATTACCCTTGCTTTCTCCTCAAAATTATACCATCATCTCTCCTGCCTCACTTGCCCTTGTGACTGCTGGGTGCTGCTGTCAGATCAAGTACACGGAGGATGAGGAATGCTCCTTTAAGGACTACACAGAGAATATTTACTTTATTTGACTCCTCTACATCTAATAGGGAACCTGTGGCAGAGAAGGGGAAAAATTTCCATCCTTCCATTTGCCTGCCTTCATTGCAGGACCTTTTATTTTTTTTACTCCTGCAGTCCCCTCATTTCCCAAGTTCTCTCCCTTTCACTTCTGCATGCACACAGAAAAGACCCTGGGCTGTCAGGGACAGCCTCCCTTCATTTACATCAGTACCTCTTCTTGTGGTGGACAGAAAAACTTCGTGTGTGTTATTCCTGTTAATTCAATTCAGGCAAGATCAATCACAGAAATTAGCTTTATTTTCTGACTTCTCAGTGTTTGCCCTTTGTGCTTTTCCAATGTCTTCTTTCCAATAGAAGGAGAGGAGTGAACAAGATGTGTGGAGGTCACACAGGTGATTCCTTTTCCTCCCAGGAGCAGGCTGGTGTTTCTGGCAGTGCTGCCTCTGGTGGGGGCTGCCAGGCAGCCCAGCCCAGCACTGCTCTGGCTCCCCGACCTGAGGCTCCAGTGCTGCAGTTTGAGTTTGCCTCTCTCCCCAGTCTGCGTGTGTGGAGGACAGTACAGTGCCTTCTGCTTTGCTGCAGCCTCCTGCACTGCTGAGCAGCATTACCAGCTTTCTCAAGTTTCAGTCTTGTATTCTGTAGAAGAAAGAGACTCTGGTTCTTTCAGTGTCTCCTAACTGGTTGTATTTTCAGCCTCTCTGATCCAGTTTCTCTTCATGGGGCTGTGTCTACCTAAAGTGCAGAGCACTTAGAGAGTAGGACACTCCTTACATGCTGTGTACCTCTCTCAGTGTACTGAATAGTTCAAATTTTTGAAGTTAGCTCCAAGTCAAACCAAACAAGGCTTCTACCACAAGGACCTGTGTTAGACCCTGCCTTGTACTCACAGCCATCTTCTTCTTCCTGTCCTAGACCATCAGCACCTAGTAGAGCTAGGCAGGTGTTCTCTGCTGCAGACACCATCTCAAAGGGTTAGCTGAGCTAAGATTAATAAGTGATCTGTTTCTATTGGTGAAACAGGGTGAAGACAGCATTAATAGAGGTACCTCTCCAAGAGGGCCTGTCTGGGCTGTGGTCTAATGCCTTATGGAAAGTCTATCACACTCTGTTCCTGATGAACTGTAGCAGTGACAAGTCTTCTTAACTTCCTTAGGCCTGAGTTCCTCCACTTGTGGGACAGTGTCGGGATCTGTCAAGAAGCACGACTGGAGAGGGCAATGGCTGCAGACCTGCTGTGAAATGCTCAGGTGTCTGGTATGTTTTGCAAGGGGAAACAGGTGGTCTGTGGAAACACAGCTGGCACTATGAGACTTGTGGTGATGCTTCCATGGCCGCTGTAGGCACAGGTTCCTGTGGCTGCAGAGTGTATGCAGGCTCTTGCCCATTGTGAAGACAAGGTGCTGCTCCTCTTACATGATTTCCAAAGCTGTTAAAACGATGGTGCTTTACTTATTTCTTTTAATTATCTTCTTTTATTTTTTTCTAATTTCCTGTGGGCTAATGGCTGTGGCCCAGAGGCTGTGATGGATTTAAATCTGACAGGTTATGATGTGAAAGCTTGGCAGCTCCACACCCCTGCAGCTCATGCCCTGAGGTTGAGTGCAGACTGTTGATGGTGGTTCTGCTAGACTGGGAGTGAAAAGCCTGGCACTTGCTCTGCTCCTTTGCATTAGTGGAGGATGTAATAATCTCCTGCAGCAAGGCAGCAGGGACAGCACAGGGCAGTGGCTTCCTAAAGCACTGCAACCACTGAGCTACTGGTATCGACACATGTCCAGTTACCTGGGCTCAGGTGATGGGCCATAGCTCCTCTGCTGCTCAAGCTCTTAATTCCACCCATCCAGGATTTTCTTTTTCTAATGTGGCCGCTTTCCTGCCTTTTTATAAGGCAGAAAGAAAAAAGGAGCTTCCTGAATGGCTGATCAAGGGCAGCTGAGGCAGCACTGCACTGTAAGGTTGAGCTGTCAGGGAAGGTGGCAGCGCTGGCTCTGTGGGGTGGATTTTGCTGAGTGTTGTAGCAGTTCACTGGAGCTTTTCAAAGGGAATAGTACAAAGGTTCCTGCCTAGATCTCCTCTGTAATAGATGGGAAAATGTCATAAGCCTCACATGTGCTTTGGATGAATCTGCTGCTCAGAGGATCCAGTTGAGGACACCCAGGCCAGTGTGCAGGTCTGAGTGAGGCTGTATGACAGGCAGGCAGCAGGAGGAACCATGGATGCCTTCTAAGAAAACAGGCTTGTCCTTCTGAGACTCCTCAGACAAACTGGAACCAAAGGAATTAAATGGACTGTAATTTGTTCTGGTAGTTATTTGGGTGCAAGCTTGTACAAACTTTAATTTGAGGTGAAGAGCAGAATCTCTGAGGTTCAAAGTGACCTCTGGGGATAATATCATCCAGCTTATGTCAACAAGGGGAGGTGGGGGGTGTAAAGAGGAGGAAGAGCTGGGCACTGGGTGTGTACAGGCTTGATTGATCCCTTCCTTCCAGCTCAAACCTGCCTTGAGGCTCTTTTCCACTTGCCAGGTGGGGAGAAAAAGCTGCAGTTTGGTTTCATCGTCTTGATTCCCGGGTACTTTGGCTCCTAATGTGATACTTCCTGCCTTTTGTGAGCTGGAGGTGCAGTGCGATCGCCCATCTTCCAGGGAGGGGTCCCCTGAGGGTGTTTGTGTTGGAATCCTATTTCTCTCTGCCCTGGGAAGTTCATCCTGGTGTGACATGTCCTGCCAGGCAGGGCCAGCCTCCATGTGTGAGTCCCAGGCCAAGGGCAGAGTTTCTCTGTGCTGGTGTTTGCACTGGGGGATTGGCAGAGCTGCGTGCCCAGCCAGGTGCTCCTGAGGCACAGGGGGCTTGGGCTCCTGCTGCCTCTGTGCCTCCAGTCCTTCGGGGGGGTTTGTGGTGCTGAGGAGAGCTGGGCCAAGGAGGAGTTGCCTGTACCAGAGCTCTGCACTCAAGCTCAGCTTCTTTCCATGAGACTTTGATCTCTCCATTGGTTTTGCTCTGGGCTGTTGCTTGCAGTGCTCTGAGCAGGCAGAGCCTGGCCTGGGGAGGCTGCAAAACACAGTGGGACTCTGGCAGGAAGGTAGCACCTAGAAATTGAATTAGTCCCCGTGGATTTTGTGGAGTTCTCAGGATATGAGCTCAAAAGGGGAAGAACTGAGGCAAGAGGTGTGAAGGGGCATTAACTGAGCAGCAATTCCATATCTCCTGTTTCTTTATCACTGGAAAAGTTATTAGAGAAGCTGTTGGACAATGATAGTTTATCTTTTCCTGGAAGCCAAAGCTTCTTCAAGTGTGGATGCTGCTTGTCCATCACAGGATACTGCTGTGCATCCTTGCTCCTGCTCTACCTGCTGATTTGATCCACTAATTTCTAAATGCCCCATATATTTGGAATTTTCACAGCCAGTGCTGTCCTGAGAGCTGTCAGTTGTGCTTCATTTTTGTTCTGTTCCCCACAGCTCTTCCTCTATAAAGGCACAGTGCCTTTTGTTCTAGAGATTGCACCTTTCATTCGGCTGCGGTGCAAACTCTGAAGTCAGGTGCAGACATTTCTGTGGGTAGCTGAGGAATTTGCTATTAGGAAATGAAAGCCTCGAGGGGGTAATCAAATGAGAAAGGGGATAGAGCATCTGTAAGGTCTGGGTCATTTGAATGTGGATTGGTTTTTGAGTGGGATGTAGAAGCTGTTTTCCGGGTTGCAGGCATGGATCTATCATGTTAGCAGCACAACCAGAAAGCTCTTTGCAGGCTGTGCCGTGGATCCAGTCCACTCACTTCTTGACAAGAGCTTTCCTGCAATTTTGCAAGTGGTCTTATTTAGTTTGGCAATGGTGGGAGCACTGGCAGAGTGTGTGGCCTTTGGGATTCCCTTGGGAATCACAGAATCCTGTGAAGAAATCTCATTTCCATCTTACAGATTTTCTGTACAGCTTTGAAGCCTCTGGGCTTGTATGGAAAGTGGCAGTGCAGCTGTGCTGGAGGTCCCAGTCCAGTGGTGTGGGCTGTGAGTTGTGGAAGGGAGTGGGAGCCATAGGCTTACCCAGGGACAGTCAGTGCTGGCAGCTGGGTCCTGCTCTCCTGGCTTTGGGAGGTGTGTGGCCTTCCAGAACAGGAAGCTTTGCTCCTTTGCCACCGATGCTTATATTGGAGTGCTCTGAGAGAAGAGTCTGGGACATGACCCAGTCTGTGGAATCTTCAGTGCTGAGCTGATGGAAACTTTTATAGAGGAAGGAGAGAGCTCTCACTGGCAATCGTTCCCTTTGCATTTTTTTCCCTGGTACATTGCAGGAAGGGTTAAATACTCAAGGAGGAAATTGACTCTTTTTGGGTGGTCTGGGAAAGAATGAGAGACCAGACTGTTCAGTCTTTAATTTACCTGCTTTGGGGAGATGACAGCAGTTACAGAACGGAAAACAGGTGGGTGAAAACTACTGGAGTCACTCTTCAGTGATGCAGCTGTTTGCCATTGGGGAGGTGTTTTACAGCAAGGTAGAGCTGCAACAGAAGTTTCCTCCTCAAAGGAAAGGTTTAAGATGACTTTGATTATAATCCTAGCTGAGCACAAGCTAATGGCTCTGGCTTAAAGAAATACTAACCACCATCCCTTTTATTGCACCTGAGATTCCTCAGTAGGGAAGTCAATGGCCTGGGGAATTGGAGAGCAAAACCTTATGATCACTGCAACTTGAGATCTGGGTCTGCAGTCCTTCCAGTGTTCATCTGCCTTCTTGGGATCTGACTAAATCATGCCTGATCTTTGGCACTTCTTAGGGTGTGTTGGATCTGCTTGGCCTGTAGGAGATGTAACCTCTGTGCTACACCTTGGGATTTAGCAACGGACAGGACAGAAAGATGGGTAAATTTAGGACAGAGGACTTTTTTTCCACCCCCCCCCCAAAAAAAAGCCTTCTAGGGTGGGGAAGAGGCGTTTGCAGCTGTCATGGATACTTCTCCAGAGCTTTTATTCAACTTCCTAGTCTGGGTGCAGTTCACAGGTGTCTATCCCTGACCATAGCCTGGACAGGTGAGATAAAGGAATGCTCTTGTTCTTCAGCTAATTTGTTGCATAAGATTGGTAAGTCACAGACTCTTAGAAAAAGGCATTAAGAAACTGTGCTTTAAGTCTTCCAGGATTTAAAAGTCCACAAAGCTTAGGATTATGGTTGGAGGCACTTTGCATATGTGTAATTACATTCTACCTTTGCAGCTGTGCTTGAAGATTTCATTCTCTTTCTGCTCTAACCTGTGTAGTGTGCCTTGCTAATGGTTAACACAAGAAGTTGCTACATTTAGTGGTAACCCTCCTCTTTCTTGCTGCTAAAACTGTGCCCGTGGGTGTCTCCCAGGTGAGTGGCCTCTTGCCCAGCTGTGTGGCTGTCAATACACATTGCAGCCTGCCTAGCTTCACACATTAGTCCTTGGAAATTGACAGTGCCCTGTGCCTGATACACTGATACATTCTGCTTTCCCTGATACTTTAATTTCCTTCCTTTTTCCCCTGGCATTTGCTGCAGAGACTTTTGTGCTCTCTGCCTGCTTCTCTCTGTGTTTCTTACAGATTCATTTCAGATGTTCCCCGGTCTCCCTTTGGCTGAAGCTCTCTCCAAACCCTGCCTGGAGAATTGCTCAGATCCTTCTCTGCTTCCAGCCTCAGGTGTTCTGCCTTCTCCCCCAGGCTTCTCCTGACATCTCCTCTCCTTCCTTGCTCACCCAGGAGCAGCCCTGGGTGAATCCCTCTGCTGTGCTGCACTTGATCAGTCAGCTTTGTTTGCTGTAAGAATTGGGCTGCTCTGCTCAGCTCCCCTTCCCTTTGAGAAACAGGAGGGAATGTAGGGCTGGCTGCTGGGACCCAATGTGCAGAGCTGTCTGTGCTGGGAAGGTGACCATGGGGCTGGGGGGACACTGACCTGACAGGGCAGTCTGAATGCTGATTGGAAACAGGCAGGCTGGGCAGAAAGGAGGCACCTCTGCCACTGAATGACTGTGTTGTCCTGGATCATAAGTATTTCAGGTATTAAGCTGCAACAAAACCGCTTTCAACTCGTGCTGAAATGTGATTTCAGTACTCAGAAGAGATAGATGACTAAGCAGAAACTGGCTGTTGTTTTGATTCAGCTACTAGAACTTCTGGGTTTGTTTGGTTTTTGTTTTTTTCCTCCTTTGTTGCAGCTGAGCTTCCAGAAATGCTGATCTCCAAGCGTACTTTGATGTTCCCATTCTAGCACATCCTGAACAGGAAAGTTCCCTGTCAAT